AAAGGGACAGGTAAACCTTTGTCGCCTATCTTTTCTGTCCCTTTGAATCTCCTCAAACCATGAACAGAAGACATAGGCACGCAGGAGAGAAAGAAGGCGCATGAGAGCCAACACAGGAAATCAACCCAACATGTCTTATTTTGCCAGTAAGAAAAGAGAAGCACCCGTGCGAGCTCCTTGTCGTTTTCTCCCAGTTGCCTCTTCATGTCTTCTTGTGTATTCATGTTTTCGTCTGCAAAACAAGAGCCAAAGCATACGGAAAAAGCGAGGAGGATGAACTTCTTCCCCGTCTCTCTCAATAACATAAGAGAGAAGCACTCTGGTCCATTCTTTGCTGTTTTCCTCCTACAATCTCTTCCTCTCTCGCTGAACAAAAAAGAAAAGAGCAAGGGCCAGCAAGGGCAACGAAAAGAGACAAGAAAAACTCCTTCCTCCTTTTTTAGCAGTTCCCTTGAATTTCCTAAACGCAAAAGAACAGAAGACCTGGGAACGCAGGAGAGAGAGAGAGAGAGAGAGAGAGAGAGAGAGAGAGAGAGAGAGAGAGAGAGAGAGAGAGAAAGCAAAGAGAGAAAGCAAAAGAGAGGGTGTAAGGGCTCTCAGCCCTGCTCTACGGGGGGGCGGGGGCTCCCTTCTTGCCACGAACAAAACAATCCATCCTTCCTTCTTTCCCGCCCGTTAGCTTCTCTTTTCCTTGTCCTCTTGTGTATCCAGTTGTCACGGGTTTAAGAAAAGAACAAAGAAGCCAGACAGAGACAGACAGAGAGAGAGAGAGAGAGAGAGAGAGAGAGAGAGAGGAGAGAGGAGAAGAAGAGAAGAGGAGAAGAAGAGAAGAGGAGAAGAAGAGAAGAGGAGAAGAGGAGAAGAAGAGAAGAGGAGAAGAAGAGAAGAGGAGAAGAAGAGAAGAGAAGAGAAGAGTAGCGAAGCGACTTGAAGAGAAGAGAAGAGAGAAGGGAGCGAGATTTGTGTGTGTGTTCTTGCATGTTCAGTTCCCCCACTGTAAGAACAAACTGAACAAAGAGGGAAACTAAAGAGGAGGGATGCTGAAAGTAGTGAATGAGCCTCAATGGGAAAAGGTACAAGAAAATGCAGGGAAGAGGAGGCGAGGGGTCCTTACCGAAGCTTGTCTCATTCCATTTCATCTCCATTCTCCTCTTTTGCCTGTAGCGAGACCGAAAGAAAAGGAAAGTGCCCGCCCTTCCATTCCTTTCTGAGACGAGTAAAAACATAGAAGGAATAGGAAGAGGGCAGGGGTAGAATTGAAGAGAGAAGAGAGCGATGGAAAAGCAATGAAAACAGAATTGTCTTGTCTGTCTACGCAACGCCCCCTTCTTCTCATCGTGTATTCTTTTGTCTTCGATGTGTGCGTTGTGTTCCGCTTCTCCTTTTCAAGAAGATAGCGTATCCATTGTTCTCAACAAGATAAGAGAGAAGCGCTCTTGTCCATTCTTTGTTGTTTTCCTGCTACAGTCTCTTCCTCTCTCGCTGAATGAGAAAAGAAAAGAGCAAGGGCAACGAAAAGAGACAAGAAAAACTCCTTCCTCCTTTTTTAGCAGTTCCCTTGAATTTCCTAAACGCAAAAGAACAGAAGACATAGGAAACACAAGAGAGAAGGAAGGCAAAAAGAAGAGTGCAATGGAATTCAGCCCTGCCCTGAGGGAGCCTCCCTTCTTGCCACCAACAAAACGATGCATCCTTCCGTCTTTTCTCGTCCATTTGCTTCTCTTGTCCATGTCTTCTTGTGTGTTCATTCATG